AAAGTATATACTATACTAGTACTTGGGCCCTTTGGGCGAGAATAAGAATCTTGAGAATGCGTCAAGGAGACCTTAAAGGAACCCGTAAAGGAGCCGCACTACGAGTTTTCAAAAGGAACCGCGAACCAAACTGACACGAAAACATGCAAACGACGCACACAATCACAAATTCTGAACACTTAAAGCAATAACCACCTAGGTCCTCAAGTCCTAAACCCTATAACTACAACCCCAAACTCTCAAGCCCGGGACCAGATAGCATTCGCACGCATTCCAGATCAAAGTCTCTAATTTCTGCCTTCCGCACCATGTACTTGGCAAAGAGGTCAGAGTTTTCCTTCGTCTCGGTGGTTTAGGGTTGAGGATGTTGAGTTGTTAGGTGGCAAAAAGGTCAGTGGTTTCCTTGGTTTTGGTGGTTAGGTTAGGGCTTTAGGGTTTGGGGGTCTCATCTTTCTTGTTTCGGCGTCCGGCACTAAGTCAAGCATTGAGGTTAGCTTTGTGGTTTTAGGCATATGGGCTTATGTGGGAGCACTGGGCTTAAGTCGATACCCGGATCCTTGAATATGCACGAATGATGATAGGACCTGTAGCAAGAGTAGAGGACAATGCAAGTATTATGTAACTACTAAACCCGAAAAATAAGCCCAAACCTACACAATAGACCTTATAATAAGCCCTAAACCTGAATAAGGGTGTTTACGAAGACCTGGCTCGCTGAAAGCATAGCATGCAATCACCAGCGTAAGCGGATTTGCGACGACTCTTTCCCAAACTGTCCTATATACTGTTACAGGGGATATTTCCCCAAATCTTAATAGTAATCTCTAAACCCCAAACCCTGAACCCTACATTCTACTAAAAGGGTACTGAACCCTAAACCCTAAACCCTAAACCCTATCCCTTTGGGTTTGTTTGGAGCTGAGACAGGAGCCTCAAGAGGTTTTTTTTTTTAAGAGAGCGTCACGAGGGCCGCGAGGGTTCAGGGGTTAGGGGTTTCGGGGCTTAGGGTTTAGGCGTTTTAGGGTTTAGGGCTTATAGGGTTTATAGGGTTTTGGGGGCTTTGGGGTTGCGGGGCTTTGGGGTTCAGGGTCTAGGCCTTTTTTGTTTGAAGGCCCTTTTCCGTCCAGCAATCCTCCTGGGGTTTAGGGTTTGTTAGAAGAGGAGATTTGGAAGGGATATATTGCTAGATTAGGGATAGGAACCACTAAGGGGATGCTATGTGCCATTCTTGGAGGGCTATATCCCTATCTTAAGGATAGGGACTAGAACGAAATACTGTTTGGGCCGTATAGTAAACACACTTCAGTGGGGCTCGAAGTTCTGTATGCAAGGGTTTAGGGTATAGGGTTTAGGGTTTAGGGGGTTCGGGTCTACGACAACTGAACCCTGACCCCGTGAGCCGTTTTGGCAGCAGCTCGAACTGCTTGGGTTCTGCGGGGAATTCTACTTTAGTTCTACTCTCCCAGAGGGTCCATAGACACTACCATTATGGAATTAAGTCCCAAAAAACAATCCCTATTATGGTTTTGGGGACCTAATTCCATAGCCCTAAACCCTAAACCCTAAACCCTAGTAGTATATATGGACCCTCTGGGTCTGACTACGGCGCCCCAGAATGTGGTACCCCAGAAGCGAGCCTGATTCGGACAACCGCCCATTTCAACACGCAGCGGGCCCATAAGTCTAACCTTGAACCCTAAACCCCAAACCCTAAACCCCAAAACCCCAAACCCTATAAACCCGAAACCCTATAAACCCCAAACCTCAAATCCTAAAGCCTAAACCCCAAATCGTAAACGCTGAACCCCAAACCCCAAACCCTAAACACCAAACCCTAAACCTCAAATCCAAAACCCTAACCCCCAAATCTTAAACCCTCAACCTCAAATCCTAAACCCTAACCTTAGATGACTTACATATCTCGGCTGCGCGACCACCCGCACCAGCTGTCGCACTCCGAAGCCGGTTGGGAGACCCGGATCTCCACCTAAGAGTTTAGGGTCTTTAGGGGTTTTAGAGGTCTTTAGGGGCCTTTAGGGTTTTGGGGGTTTGGCGGTCTTTAGGGTCTTTAGGGCTTTTCTCAGAGGTCTTTAGGGTTTTTAAGATTTTTAAGGCTTTAGGGTTCTTATGGGATTAGGGGGGTAGGGTTTTACAGCTTTGGGGTTTTCGGGTTTTCGGGCTTGTAGGGTTTGGATAGGTTGAGGGCGTATAGGATCTAGAGTTCTGGATTTATCTCCCCGGCTCAAAATAGTATTATTATTTATTCCGGAGGTGCAAAGTCCGAAGCGAAAACTAGTATTGCTAATGATTGAGCCCCCTACATTATGGGGATTTATAGGCCGGACCTTGGCGGCTCACCTGGGCTTCTGGTTGACTCCAGGCCCTAGGCTTCGTGAAGTGTGATAGTGATTTAAGGTTTAGGATTTAGGGTTTAGGATTTAGGGCTTAGGATTTAGGGTTTAGGGTTCAGGGAGTGCGATAGTGGTGCCTTGAATGGAGGAAGGCAGCTAGGTTTGATATGTACCACGTAATCAACATTGCAGCACAAACATTCCTAGGATCTCATCCATTGCCTCCTCCATGATATTCAGAAGTGCTTATAGAAGTAAGATGAGCGTGAAGGGCTTGCAGAAGGATTTATGTCGTCTTGTTTGGTTCCGGGCTTACACGGGTATCTTTGCAGAGGGTTTGAGGGCTACAGGGTTATGGGGTTGCAGGCTTACGGCTTAGGGCTAGGTTGTACGGTGCCCGACGGACTTGCAAGTGGACGGCATGCTTTTGGACCCTGATGTAGACTCTACAGTCGTTCCAAAGCATCCCTATGAAGGAGGCCCTGTTTCTCAGAAGTCCCTTAAATCCCTGAATCTGGACCCTTGACTTGTATGCAACCCTCAATCATTCCCAGCCCACCGCACCCTTGAATCCCAACTACGTTTTAGGGTTCAGTGGGGATTAGGGCCATCAGGGTTTAGGGGAAGAAGCCCCAAACCCTAAGCCCAAAAGCCATGGTACCTGGGCGAACACAGGGGCAGCCACCACGGGTTTTGCCATGCTCACCGCTGGGGCAAAGCCGGTCCTGTGTGGTGATACCTCCTTGGCAGAAACGATTTAGGGTTTAAGGCTTTAAGGTGAATGGCTTAGGGTTGAGGTTGCAAGTAAAGGAACATCTAGTCATAATGATGCAGGGTTTAAGGTGCCGGTAAGATAGTTGTTATACCCGGCCAACCACACTTCTCATTCCCAGCTGCATGCGCACCAAAACCTTCAAGTAAGCCGCTCTTATCACTCGCTTACTATGTTAGGTTCTGAGGCATAGACCCATCTCATATTGTTTTCGATTCTTGCGGCTGAGGGGATTGAGGGTTCGGAGCGTTCGGACCCTTCACAACGAGGCTTAAAACCCCATGTGGGACTGTATGGGAGGGAATTTCGTTCAGGGTTTAGTGTTTAGGGCTGCAGATGGGTGCCTGGCCACTCTCAAGACTATCTGCACCTGACGTGCAGGAGCGAGTATAGAAATCCTGTGGGAGACTTTGAACCTCTGCTCATGAACCTGCAAGTCCTGTGTTTAACACTTCTCTTTGCACCCCATGGACGGTTCTTCGGCCCTAGCCAAGAGGCGCTCGCTTCGCCTGGAATAACCCCGAACGGCCGTAACCCTAAATCGAAACCCTCTTCTTCCGGAATGACGATGCCAGGCTTCAAGTTCAGAGTGTGTGGTTAAGGCATTCGGGTACACCCTTCACCCTAAACCGCATAGCTGAGCGGCTGTAGGTGAAGTCCACTAGCATCTGCATGTGATGGAGGTGCTCATACCTCCAGCCGTAGAATACGATTTAGGGTTTACGGCTTAAGACGCAAGTTGACATGACTACGACCATCCCGGACCACTTTCTGGTGCTCAGGATACTCGGTTGCCCCTAAACCTAAACCCTACTGCGTGATATAGTAACCATTGCTGGAGCCCCGCGGACCTACATTGCCCTATGGGTCCAAGTGCCTGACTATGAAATAACTATATATACTCTCCCAAATACTAGGTGGCATTGCTACTACTATCCTAAACTCACGGACCCATATTCTCTCACAAATACTAGCATCAGCTCACACGTCGCTATCCGATACCCCCTGAACCCTAAAGCCAAGTACCTACTTTTCGGGTCCCTTCGGAGCCTTCGGGCTTCTGGCTTCGAACGTAGGGTCTCGCGGGTAAGACGGGGTTCTGCTCGAAGCCTAAACGCCTTAGCCCTAAGCCCTAAACCCTAAAACCCTAAACCCTCATCCCCTAAACCCTAATCCCTAAAACCCTAAACCCCTAACCCCCAAACCCTCAACCCTAAACCCTAAACCCCTAAACCCCAAACCCCTAAACCCTCAACCCTCTACTGTCAAACTTGCAACCTGAGAGGCAGGGGCCCCGTACTATACGCGCCTTGATACTCGAAATGAAGTTTTGGCGGTATATTATATATATATATATATATGTACATATATATATATATATATATATATATATATTAGTATATATATATATATATATAATAAGGAACAAGGGGTTATGGGAACCGTGGGGAATAAGCGTATTTGGTAACTGCTTAGGCTTCTACATTAAAGTGGTTGGTGTCGTGCGCCCCCTTCTCTGATGTGGGCCTATACGGTTTAGGCTTTTGGGATCTAGGGCCTTGCCGCAGAGTGTGCCGAGTTCAGGGGTTTAGGCCATTAGCATTTGGAGTTGACAAGCCTCGGGTTCGGGGTATTGAAATAAAAGGGGCCGTGATGAGTAGAAGAGGGTTTTGAGGTATATAGTAGTGTAATTGTATTGCAGGGAACATCATTACTGCTACTGCTAAACTGCTAAATTCGACCCCTAGATTCCTAGATTACCCCCGCCAAACCTGAAATAAAGCTCTAAAGTACATATCCCGCAGAAACAGCTTACGGCCACCTTGGATTGTCAATAACTATCTAGCCTGTCCTTTCCTCCACATGTCTCCTTTGGTTTCCATGGTAACTGCGATATCTTCTCCATAGTGTAGGGCAAGACCACCGGAAGGGTTTAGGGGCTCCGGTTTAGGGGTTTACCCGTATCCCTAGACCCGACGAAATAATAGGTTATGACCCCTTCAATTAGAGAGTCCTAGGCCTTAAAACGGTAGGTAACCCTAAACCCCCCAGGTAGGGTTTAGGAAGAACAAAACAGAGATCAACGAGTTGAAATGCTGACCTCGAAGGCGAAATGGGCCAGCTCCCGAGTTTGGGGTTTAGGGGTTTAGGGGTTTTGGGGGTTTTGGGTTTGGGTTTGAGGGGTTTAGGGGGTTTAGGGGGTTTAGGGGTTTAGGGGTTTTGGGGGTTTAGGGGTTAAGGGTTTAGGGACCAGTTTTAGGAAACAGGGTTTAGGATTTGGGGTTCGGGGTTTGGGGTATAGGGTTTAGGGCTTAGGGTTTGGTGTTTAGGGTTTTGGGTTTCGGGCATAGGGTTTAGGGTAAGCCCCTTATCCTATACTGAACTTAGACCCCTAGCAAATTTTGTAATTTTGAGCTGTTTCTTAGGGTTTATAGTAGCCAAATATGAAGAATTATCTCTAAGTACCCCTACGTTATCTCCTCAAGCCCGCGAAAGGACAGCAGCAGGTGCCTGGCATAAAGCAGCCCATCGAAGGAGGCATCCTCTGAGGCGCGAGCAGCCCAGTACCTGTTGAAAGAGCAAGATGGGGGTTTAGGGTTTAGGGTTTAGGTTTAGGGTTTAGGGTTTAGGGTTTAGGGTTTAGGGTTTAGGGTTTAGGAGGCTTGTCATCAGGCGCCCTGGAGGGTTTTCAGGGGGTTTACCGATTCACGAGCTTATGGGTTAGGGTTTGGGCGGAAGGCTTCAAAAAAGGTTCCGTGAAGGGCTCTTTTGAGCTTCTAAAAATTGTCAATGAGGTTTGTACAAGGGGTTCCTAAACCCTAAACCCTAAACCCTAAACCCTAAACCCTTTTCGGCTGCAAAGGCTTGAAGGGGAGCTGGAGGGTGGTTTTGGATTGGGGGCTTAAGGCTGAGGCTCAAGCTGAGGCTTTACACAGGGTACAGGGCTCTATCTCTGTGCCTCCTGCTTCACTCCATGTGGACACGAAGGCTTGCAAGCCTTCTTCCACATAATGTAGGGGCCTAAATAATTACCAATACTATTTTGGGGGTTCCTTATTGTAACTATGATAGTATGTTGGGCCCCAAAACCTTTTTCTAATCATTCAGGCACCTATATTATATAGATTGCAGCATGAACATCACACCACATCATGAATGCTAAACTTTGTAGGACTTCCAGGAGCCCTCCATTGAAGACTTAGCATGCCTGCGCTTGTGGCCTAAACCCGAAGCACATCCTAGAAAACAAAGCGACCCAATCATCCGACCACAAGACACCGTCGTCCCTAAACCCTCAACCCTGGACTCCGTATGAAAATTGATGTTGCTGATGATGCCTATAAAGAACTCTCTGTAGCTAGATTCTGCCGCATAAAAAGGCCCAAATGTGGCACTACGTATTGCAGAATCCAGAAACCTTTCTGTAAACTCGGCCGAAGCTGGCGAGGTGCGAGTTGCATGAGACTAAGGGACCCAAATGCCGACCCCCCAAAAGAAGGTTTGGGCTTTAGGGCTTGGGGGATCCTTACTATACGAAGCCCAAATTGTAGGATCTTGTTTTGATACATAGAATCCCAGCCAACACACCAAGCTCCCGACACTTTTTCTGAAATTCCCCTCCCCAAGCCCGAAACCTTAAACCTTGAACCCTATAGTTTGCTGGAATTCACTAAACCCTAACCCTAAACCCTAAACCCTAAACTCTAAACCCTACAATTTTCTGAAAGCCCCAAGCGGCTGGGGAAGGTTCGCCGCCATGGTTTCCGACAAGCGTCGGGCAAAATCCTCCTCAGACCTGGCAACCCCCAAGGACCACTGATCAAAAGGGGTGGTTGGGTTTAAGGTTTCGGGTTTTAGGCTCAGGGTTTAGAGGCCTTAGTATAGGGGCTTCAGGCTTAGGGCTTAGAGTTGGAATTGTGCTTTATGGGCTTCGGGTTTGTATTGCAAGGCTACCTTCTATAGGAAGTCCATGAGGCCGAAACCTTGGTTTTGGGTCTATACGGGGTTACGTAGAGGTTGTTCGTTAATGGTGCAGCCTAGCTTGCTGTGATCGAAAGTAAACATTACACGTCCCCCCTCCACTCCAGCCCTAACCCCCGAACCACAAACCTCTAAACCCCAAACCCCAAACCCTCAACCCTAAACCCTCAACACTCAGCCCTGAACCCTAAACCCTCAACCCCCAGCCCCCATCACCTCTGCAGCGCTTTACCCAGGATGGTCTGACCAGCCGCCTTCCGTCGCAGGCACCACGTGCCCTGGAAAGGCTTGAATCTCAGAGTGTAAGGGGCTAAAGTTTCATCTAGGGGCCTTAATAATTAGAATAGGGTTTTAGGGCCCATTTTACTATGATGACAATAAGGACCCCCAGAATAACATAGGTAATTATTTAGGCCCCTGCATTACAATGCATTACAATGTTTAGAGTCAGGTTTAGGGGCTTTGGCTTAGAGGCTTAGAGCTTCTATAAGGGGTTCGAGATTTCAATAGGCTCTGATAAGGGGCTTACCCTTCGGATCACTATGGCGTCTAAGGGTTGGGGTGTAGGATTGGAACCCTAAACCCTAAACCCTAAACCCTAAACCCTAAACCCTAAACCCTAAACCCTAAACCCTAAACCCTAAACCCTAAATAGGACTGGTGGCTTCCTGAAGGGCTTAAGGCCTTCTTTGTTGAAAGAACTCACGGGAGACACGCGATTCGTCTAGTTCGAAATCTAAGACTGAGCCGATGTTACTGTAAACCCCAAACTCCACTCTAAACCCTTAACATAAAACTCCAGTCCAATGAAGACTTTCAGCCCTAACGGCCCTAACGTCTCTCAACAGTCTCTGGTGTCCCGGGTTTTCCTTGGTTTTAGGTACAGTGCAGATGACCAGCATCGGCCCGGGACGGTGCTGCTGTAATGCCGTACAGAAGTTTTAGGCGCCAGGGCTTTGGGCTTAGAGCGCTGAGTTGCGGGTTTAGGGTTTAGGGCTTCGGGTTGGTTTAGGGTTGAGGGTTTAGAGTTTTTTTGGGCAGTTTAAGGCCAATGTGACAAAGCCAGCTCGAGAAGCGATGAACTGCAAAATCTAGGCACTGCTGTTGGTCTCTGCAGGTATATAAGGGTTTAGGGTTAGGGTTTAGAGTAGGCTGAGCCAGAAATCTTCAATGTAGAACCTGGACACAAAGGATTTCAGAATCCTACACCCAGCAGCCCAAACCCGAAGCCTGAAACCCGCACCCGAAACCCAAAACTCTAATGTAGGTGCCTAAATATAGTTACCTATACTATTTTGGGGATCCCCATTATTAGTATAGTATAATATACCCCAAAACCCTATTCTAATTGCGTTAGTGCAGGGATGTTCAGCATATGTAAGCATGACTTGCAACACGCAGGCTTTTGGCTTGAAGAAAGGAGTGCCTCCGCTTTCGGGGGTTATGAGCCCAACGCATCTCGGTGTAAGCCGTTGGTGAGCTCCCATGGAATCTGGTGGTGCGGCCCCTGCGAGTGTCCCGGAGGTGGATGGGGATCACACTACAGATGGCGATGTTGGGGGTTTGCCGGCGGTGGAGTCGGGTGCAGTGGCGGAGGATTCGCGGCTCATGGAGGTCAGGGTCGACGACGAAGTTCGTGAACCTGGCTATGGAGCTGAAGAGGAGTTAGGGCAGCAGGGTGAGGCGCACGGAAGCCACGGAAGCCATGGTGGGACTCAGGCGTCTCTGGAGCCTGCGGTTTCACCCTCTGGCGGGCAGCGACCTGTGCCTGTTGCTCTAAGCGAAGTACCAGAGGCTGGGCCATTCAGCATGCGAGAAGAGAGGTCAGGCTCAGCGGAGCGACGTTCGGAAGAGGTGAGCCAAGTGGCGAGATCGCTGGCTTTTATGACCAACTTGGTTACCACTCTGGTTGGTCGTATGGACAGAGTGGAGCAGAACCAATCCCGAGGTGGATCTACAGGGACAGGAGAGAGAAGGACCACGGCTACTGAAGGACCGATGGGTGGAACTCCTGAGGCGGCAGGGCTGGGCTACGTGGATCTGGAAAGGCTGGATGTGCAGATGGGACGAATGCATTTGGATGCTGGAGAGCCTACAGCAGACCGCCCGCTGGCGACGATGGACAGGATCTTTGCTGGAACCTTTAGTTCGGACAGCAGTGAAACAGCGCGTGCGAGAAATCTGCAAGGAAGAGGTTATCCAGGTTCTTTGCTGGGTCCTCTGGCTATACCTTCGGGCCAAATCGTGCTGCAGGGATATCCTCAAGGCTTGGGACAGGGGAACGCAGTGTTGCCTTTGTCGTCTCAGCCGTTGCCGGTGCCTTCCCTAAGTATGCCACAGGTGCCGTCCATGAGTATGCCGCAGGTGCCTTCCATGAGTATGCCGCAGGTGCCTTCCATGTGTATGCCGCAGGTGCCTTCCCTGGGTTTGACGCAGGTGTCTTCTCAAAGTATGCCTCAGGTGCCCTCTCAAAGTATATGCCTCAGGTGTCCTCTTCAAGTATGCCGCAGGTGTCCTCTTCAAGTATGCCGCAGGTGTCTACTTCAAGTATGCCGCAGGTGTCTACTTCAAGTATGCCGCAGGTGTCTGCTCAAAGTATGCCGCAGGAGTCTTCTCAAAGTGTGCCGCAGGTGTCTTCTTCAAGTATGCCACAGGTGTCTACTCAAAGTATGCCTCAGGGGTCCTCTCAAGGAATGCAGCAGGTGTCTTCACAGAGTGGGCTCCAGGGTCAAAGAATGTTGATGGATCTCCCGCCAGGAATCCCGACGGATGGTGTCCCCAATGGTCACGGTGGAGAACGTGATGGCGGTGAGGCGACGCAGTCCTCAACAGGGACAGCAGGTGTTCCAGCTACTGGCTTTGTGTGCGTCAATGGGAGCTGGGCCCCTTACTACCTCGTGCAAGGTCAAATGGTGATTCACGATGCGGGGCTCTACGGGATTAACGTGGGAGTTCCAGGGGGAGGTCAGCAGATGGCGTTTGGGAATCAAGAACTGGGTACTGTGTCCCCACCACCACCGCCGCCTCGTCCAAGGTCACCTGTCACGCCGGTTCGGAGGCCGGCGGCGGGAAACAATGCCACTCCAGGTGGGACTCCGGTGCCACCACCTCCGCCTACACCTCTGCCTGCTGCTACGGGATCTTCGGTGGGTGGTGGAGGAGGTGTGGAAGTAGAGGAGCCGAGCAAGTTGGTTACGAAGCTGCCCGTGTTGACGGCGACGAAAGGGACCGACGCTGCTGTGGTGGCCGGGGACTGGTTGGCGCAGCTGGAGCCGAGCATGGCAAGCCTGAGCAGTACGGCAGCTGTTTGGTGGCATGACATGATGGCGAAGGTACGCGGTCTCTACCAGAGATGGCTGGAGTCGACCCCAGTGGACAGACTCCAGATTCGAACGCAGGTGCTGGCGCAGAGGCCTGCGGTGGACAAGTACCAGAGAGTGGAGCAGCGTGCCTCAATGCTGTTGCTAGACAGCCTTCCGGAGGATCTCAAGGCTGAGGCGGTTTCAGTGCGGGCGGTGACGGTCGAGGCCATGGTGTTCCTTGTGCACTGCTCTTTCCAGCCGGGTGGCTCTGCGGAGAAGGCTTACTTGTTGCACTTCCTTACCTCGCCCGATGCCGGGAACACAGTGGATGCAGCGGTGGCGTCTATCAGGAGTGGATTCGTCTTCTGCGGAGGGGA